AAAGTATCAGTTCTAATTTAGTTTTATATAAGAGGAGTAACGACGTCCCAAAATTTCATGTCGTCCTTTAATGGGTAAAAATGTTTATTTTGGATTCTGATACTTCTTAGTAAATGATGTACCCCATCTAGTGAATTATAGCAGACGCATGCTTACATTTTAACTGCCACTTACTCCACAACTAAACATACACAATACCAGTTGATTTTAACGGCTTTTAATTTTAAGTTAAATATGCCAAATTTCCTAGTATATTTACAATTTTATTAAAGGTAGAAAGAAACAATTTAACTAAAACTAGATCGTGCCCTTTCAATTTATAAGATGTTCAAATAATTATAGTAAAATATGTTTTGTTTATTTTCCTTATAAAATATGTGTGAGCGCCATCTATTGGACGATAGCAATACAATTGATTTGTTCAACCAAAGCACTGAACATACTTATTTAAATGTGTGTTTTTTGCGGTCATTTAATACATTTGAAATTTATTCAAATAAAACGAAATAGAATTGTATAATCATGTTAGAAAGCATCAAGGCTTGGGAAAATTTATAGGTCAAAAATTGTAAAATGTTTTTCAGAAATAAGTAAATTTTTATAAGTTTTCTTATACGACACCAATCGGAGGTTTTTGTGATGGGCATTTTTCAACAATTTTTACAAATTTGAATAATTTTTCATTCATAATTTTCAATTTTAAAATTGGTCTGACAGTTCATTGTCCCAGCAGCTGGGTTGATGCGACTACCTGTATTCTTCTACTTTGTGTATAATTATGATTAATATATAATACTGAAATTAGGGCAATAGATCACAACCATGTTATCAATTGTTATCAATTCCGCTCTCATTAAGAGCGGTTTGCATTAAATTTGGTAGAAATTAAACAATATTTTAGAGTCAACATCGTCGTCACCATATCGGGTAGAGATGGACTGATTCATGGTACAATAAGGAGGATAGAAAAGCTTCGTAAAACTACAGTCATGTGACTATACCCGCTTCCTGTCAGACTCATTCAAAATTATGTATGTATAAGTTGTTTGCAATTTTTTTTCCTCATTTTCAAAATGAGTTAAAAAATCCGAAAAATGTATGAAATACCGAGATTTTCTCTCAAAATATGATCCAAGCTGTTCAATCTTTCAATTTTATGGCTAAACTATTGAATAGCTTTAATGCGCGAGCCGTTATGTAGGTGTCTTCCAATCATTGATTTTGAAAATATTTTGTTTTCATTTTTCAAAACAATAAATACATACCCAAAATTGGCAGAAGTCGGGCACATTTAGAAAAATTATTGAAAACGCATATTTTAATAACCTCCGATTGGCGTCGTATAAGAAAACATATAAAAATCAACTTATTTTTGACAAAACATTTCAATTTTTTTGCATATAAATGTTCTCAAGCGTGGATAAAAAACATTAAGTTCGGCCGGGCCAAACTCTCAATACCTCCCACCTTAGGGTAAAAGAAACATTAGAAGAACATCATGTGGCAAAAACCATTAAAATGCCGATTATCGGGAGGTACCGTTATTTTCGCCACACGAACTAGGACCCATTATGACCCATAAATACCAATTTTTAGACAAATCAGTGAAAAAATGTTGCAAAAACCGAATATCGGGAGGTACCGTTATATGGGGGCTATACCAAATCATGGACCCATACATGCAATGTTTCGCCATACGCTCAGGGACCCGTTATGACCTACAAACACCAATTTTCAGACAAATCCGTGAAAAAATGTGGCATAAATCATTAAAATACCGAATATCGGGAGGTACCGTTATATGGGGACTCTACCAGAACGTGGACCGATATATCACATTTTCAATACCAACCATCCTAGACACAATGCAAATAGCTCTGCAGCGTCAAATAATGTGGGTTGTATCGTGATTTCAACAGACAGACAGACGGACAGACGGACATCGTTAAATCGACTTAGAATTTAATGCTGATTATGAATATATATACTTTATGGGGTCTAAGACGAATATTTAAGGATGTTACAAACGGAATGACAAAGTTAATATGCTCTCCTTTCCAAGGTGGAGGGTATAAAAACCAGATTTAATGTCAATTTTTTTTTACATTTTGTTCTGTGATTTCAACCACAATAATGCATTTTGACATTAAATTTGGTAGTCAGTTGGCTTGCTGAGTAAATTTTCTCTCTCTATCTCTCGTACAAATATTACAAGAAGTTATCAAACAACATTCATTAAAAACAAGTAAAAAAATTAAGTTCGGTCCTCCATCTTTAGGTAAAGAAAACATTTTTATATAAAAGTGTCTGAATTCAAAAGTGTTGCACTTTAAACTACTGCCAGTGAAAGCATTTGGATAATACTGTTAAACTTAAAAAAAAACATAAAGTGGATGAGGCCTTTGTATACCATACAAAACATTATTATCAAAATATCGAGTATCGATGGGTATCGTTATATGTGCGCTATAGGAAAACGTGACCCTAAATGCCGTGCCGATGCTAGAACCCATTATGAACTACAAATACCAATTTTTGGACAAATCCGTGGAAAATGTGTCAAAAATTATCAAAATACCGAATATCGGGAGGTACCGTTATAAGGGGGGTATTCCAAAACGTGGGCCGATATCTCATTTCAATACCAACAATCCTAGAAACAAAGTAATCAGCGATGCCAAATTTTAAAGCCACTGCAACATATAGCCAAAAATCCAAAAGAAACGTATGAAGTAATGTAAGAAGATGTGGGGTAATGAAGGCGCTGCATCGCCTAAAACCTACCATCAAAAACTCTTACCTACATATCTATGTGGAATCAGAAATCATCTATCAACTTGATGTTGTTACAGTAGTAGCAGAACATTTGTGTACTATAATGGCTCAATCAGAAAGGTTGCTCAACTTCACGAAACTAGGAAAAAATGCAACTCTGTACCGGGGTTTTATAGTGTCAAATAGACTTTGAATATGCAACAATTAGTTTTGTTTATTTTACAAATTTTAACAGAATGCAAAACATGAATGCAATGTGGGGATTATTCCCAAAAATTAACACTTCAAGCATACTCTAGAAAATCGTAGAAAAAGCAACATCCCTGTCCAATTGAAGCCAAACTGCATATACAGCGTAAGATGAAAAAACTGCAAACCAACTTCAGACTGCTGTCATTTTTAAGACACTCGTCCGACAGCTGTTAAAATTATTCCAGTGACAGCTCATTATATTGTTTACAACCGTACAAAAGTATTTGGTGAAAATTTTTCAGAAAAAAAGTTATTCGTGATGGAATTTAAGCGCGATAGTGTGATTTCTTTCTATTTGGCTGGAAAACCAGAAGTGGCTATCGTTAGAGCACTCCAGCATTTAAGTATGAATAAATCCTTTGTGTCTCGTACCATCGCTGGTTACCGTTATACTGGTAGCGTAGCCCGACGTCAAGGAAGTGGACGGAAGAAAATAGCAACATCAGCAGAAATAGTTCGAAAAATAAAGAAGCCACTTGATCGAAACCCGCTACTCAGTGGCAAAAAATTGGTCGTGAGATGAATATATCGCAATATTCCATTCGGCAAATATTGAAAAATGAGCTCAGGGTAAAGCCACTGAAATTCCAAAAATAGGAAAAAAGAGCTAAAGAGTTACTTCTCTTAGCCGAAAGTGGTGAACTGCCGTATTTGGTTTTCTTCGATGAGAAAATATTCGTTGTCCAGCAGTTTGTAAACAAACACAATGATCGTGTTTACTTGCCAAAAAGGGTCAACTAATAATGTGCACCTTCGGTTGGCCACCAAAACTAAAGCGCCGGCCATGGTGATGGTGTGGGCGCCATAACAGCCGATGGTCGTTCTCCACTCGTATTGATCGACCGTGGCATCAGAATAAATTCCGTACATTTTTTGCATTCATTAAATAAGATTTAAAAAAAAATTATGGCTTTTGACTTTGTAGCAGTATTTTTTTTCTCACCCTTTATTACTTTATGTGGCGTCACTGTTCCTTAACTCTGAAAAAGTTTTCGCATCATCGTTGTTGGCGTCTTGTTAAGCTTAATATCCAATTTTTCAACTATTAGGCAAAAAATATGTTCACATTGCCTTGCAGTGAAATTTTATATCACAAAAGTGTATACCTATTGTATATCAAAACGTCATATCGAAATTCACACTAGCTTTACTATAGAGCCAAATGAGTTGCAGTTTGCTTTGCTTCTACATTTAATAATTATACCATGGTACTCCAGGGAAAAATTTATTTGGAAGCATGGTACAATAAGGAGGTAGAACAGCTTTGTAAAACTACAGAAATACAGCCCTGAGGCTGCGCCCTCTTCCCGTCAGACACATTCAAAATTATATGCAATGATACAAACTGTTCAATTTCATGGTTAAACTGGTTAATAGCTTAATTGTGCGAGCCGCAATCTATGTGTCTTCCAATCATTGGTTTTTAAAATATTTTGTTTTCATTTTTCAAAGCAATAAATACATACACAAAATTGACATATGTCGGGCACACTTAGAAGAATTTGTAATCAGCTGGTAGCTCTACCTTACCTTTTTATTGTACCATGTTTGGAAGGTAGCTCTCATGGTAGAAGAATATAGGTAGACGCGTCGACGCAGCTGCTGGGACAATGAACTGTCAAACCAATTTTGGAATTGAAAATGATGATTGAAAAATTATTTAAATTTGTAAAAATTGTTGAAAAACGCAAATTATAATAGCCTCCGAATGACGTAGTATAAGAAAACATATAAAAATCTACTTATATTTGAAAAAACATTTAAATTTTTTTGACATATCAATGCTCCCAAGCGTTGATGCATCTACCTGTATTCTTCTGCCATGGTAGCTCTTTCAGCCTCCGGATATTGTAGTAGTTCAGACCGGACGAATTTATCTGTGGTTTTACTTTTTAACTATTAATATTCGACGTACATGTCCCTGAAACAGCTGTAACTAAAATTAGCCTTGCAACTAGAACTAGTTCACATAATACCCTTCCTTGAACAATACCGTTGAACCAAATCAGAATCGGAACGACACAACAAAACTTCTACGACGTTTTTGGAGAACATTCACCTTCGAGTCATTAAATATCTCTTCCCGTTGACCTTAGAAAGATTAGAAACACGACAAGAACATTGCCAAGTGGCAAGTGTGTGTTTTTACGTTGGAACAGTGTACATTTTTTTGTTTTCTTTTTCGTTTTTCCACAATTTTCATGGACGAGTCAGAACTCCTATTCAATCTCTTCTATCTGCTGCTATGTATGTGTATCATCTATCCACCAGAGGAATTTGGACGTTTGGGTCTCACCATTGAACAATTGTTCTCCAATTGGTTGGGCGAAGAACATCTGAATTTTGTTCGCTACCATCAGAGACGCACCTCATTGAATCTCTTCATACACAGTTGTCTGCCGGCAATCTACTTTCTCATACATCGTTTTAAATTCTCTGTCTTTACGGAGTACGATGATACCGAAGAAGAATCTGAATTGGATCCAGATTTCCCTATGCCGCAAGAGGCAGTGGCTTTTAAAACACTCACGTGGAAAGTGGCACAACGTTTTAGTTTGATGGCTGTTCTAGCCGTTCCGGCCTTGATATTTAATTGGTATCAACAGAATTGGAAGAGACATCCCATAACACAAACCTTACAAAAGTTTTCCAATACGCCGAACAGTACATCAGATGTTGAATCGGATATAGGCAACGAATTCCGCAGGTATACTTTTGTGTATTTGCCAAAAAGTAATACTTTATTATTTGTTTACTTTTAGGCCGGATATTTACAAGAAGAAATTAAATTCGATATCGACAGTAATCGCTACAGAAAATTGGATTATAAAAACCTCGCTGTACAATGTCAATTTTGCCCATCAAAGTGATACCGTTCTGAGTGTAGCTAAGGTATGTTATTAAGTAAATTTGGTAATGAGTCTGCCAGCAATGATACGAAAATGTCCTGAAGGTAGAAGGATTATAGTAATGCAATAAAGGGTAAAAGAGCTCCCGGTCTTGGGGCATAAATGTATGTCTAATCTGTAGTCCCAGATCATTTGTGCTCACGATAAGCCTCGATTTTTAGACTCCATTCCGGGATTATGAATACAACTTATTTCTTCAATATCTCTTCTTTGAGTTATACTTGTGCTGAACTCGATATTGACTTGCAAATACAAAGGTGAAATAGACTTTCTCTGCATCATTCGAATCAGTCCAAGAAACATTCCTAACCGTACCAGGTCCGTGTGAAAGTCGTGACTTCTTTCACCCAAAATGATGTGGTCCGCAATCACTTCACTTGTAGTTCATTCTACATTAAAAGCTAAATTGCATTTTGCAATAATTTAGCTCTATTTTATATTACTTTGCAAAAAAAAACAGAAAAATACCAAACCGATTGTGGAAGCGGTTGCTATCTTAAACAAGTTAAAAAGTATCTGTCGGGTTTGCCGATATATGTATACATCAGCCAATGAACCATTAATTTAAAAAATTTTGACTTCTGTTATGATTATTCAAATGTTTAATCCCTTATGGAGTAGATTCCGAAGGAATAGCCCAATATTGCCCATTTCATATCGGACCTAAATAAATATAATATAAATATTGCGACGTGACAGGTTTGGACTATATTGGTAACTTCCTTCTTTTTACATGACATACATATATAATAATTTTTAGAAAATGTTAAAATGATTTATATATAGCCGACAAAAGTATTCAATTTTAATACTTCATATATTACAGATAAAAAAGTTGGTATGGGCAAAAATGCAAGAAAATCGAACAATTATATATAATTTTTTGCAAAATCACAAATTCCGATAAAAATTCATATTCATCTCAGGTTTCTGGCAAAGATAGATGTATTTAGATATAGCATGTTATAAAGAATTGCTGACTTGCTTCGCAAGTTATGACAGATAAAAATATTTAAATTGTGACCCTTTGTGAGTGAAGTGTCAGAAGGGGTTCGCAAATATATATCATCTTCACAAAAGATCTTGTGTTAGCAAAATGTTTGTATATGTGAAATTTGAAGAGTGTTGAATGCTTATATAGCTTTCTTTGAGCGTTTTGTTTTTCAAAATTTTGAAACCTATGTGGGGCAGGTAGCATAAGAAGCGGCCCGATCTCTACCATCTTTATAAAAGATGTTGTGTTGATGGAAATATTAAGATGTACCAAGTCTTGAATAAAATCGGATGTTAATTTCCCTTTTTATGAGCTTCATGGATATTCAAAATGTTGACCCTTTGTGGGGGAGATACCAGAAGGAGAGGGCCGATATATCCCATCTTCACACCAGACCTCGGGTTAATAAAATTATTGGGATGTGTGAAATTTGAAGACAATCGAACTGTTTTGTGGGGGAGGTACCATTTTACCAGCAGACCTTGAGTTAAAAAAATTATAAGGAAATGTGAAATTTGAAGACAATTGGATTCTTACATCACATTTTATAAGAGTTGTAATTAATCACAATTTTGACCCTTTGTGGAGGAGGTACTTGATCGATTCGACCGATATTGTTAATTTTCGCACCTGACCTAGCACTGACGCAAACATTTGGATTTGCAAAGTTGTTTGATAAAGGACGATCGGTTGCCTTAAGATAACCGCCCCACTCGGAGATTTGCTGGTCCATTGAGTCATTTGAGATAAAAGAGAAAAACAAAAGAGATTGGAGAAAAAAGGTAAAAAAAAAACAAAAGGCAATCCACGACTATTCATCTTTCGCCACTTATATCTTCTGGCTAGCTGAAGGCTCTGTTTTAGAAAATGAAGACAGATTCATCTTTCGCCTCTTACATCTTCTGGTTAGCTGCAGACTCTGTTTTAGAAAATGAAGACAGATCGTGTGTTATTTTCTCTCCCACAAACCTGTGTCCCTCATTGGTGAGAATGGGACTGTGCGGTAAACAGTTTTCGCGCTACATTTCGGCTTTCGAATCTCCCGTAATAAAGTTGTGGTAGGAGTCTTACCGAGTTTTCAACTTCAATGTCAGTTAATTCCCCTCGTCTTGCCTTCAGTGGATTTGCAAAGTTGGAGCAAAATCGGGTTATCGTTTATCTTTTTGGCAATTTTTTTTTTTTTTTTTTTTTTTTTTGAAAATTTCGAACTTTTTTAGGGGACGTACCAGAAGGATTGGACCGATATCGCCCATCTCGGAACTCGATCGAAGTTTGACAAAAATATAACCATCTACCAAGTTTGGACCAAATCGGATACTCCCTTCGAGAGTTACCGTGCGCACCAGCCAGCCAGACAGACAGATGGACGGACTTCGCTAGATCGACTCCAAATGTCCTGAAACGGATTTGTTCCAAAGATACCTAGGGTCTAAAAAAGTTATTTCGACTAGGCACGTTTTGACCGTATCAAATGATATATACCCTCTCTAGCCATATGGCTGAGGGTATAAAAAGTGTCATAGAGAGTTTGTATGTAGATTTTGCGTCAGTACATACTTTTGCAATAGCATCTAATATAAAAAATGCTCTTTTGATATTCTATGACGTTGTTTAAAAACAAATAAGATTTTGGAAGTCAGCCAACAACAAATTTTCATTCTAGAACCCCTTTGTGTTTCACTTGGTTTCTTTCAACATATTATTTAGTCCCTAGATATCAATGTTGCACGCCGACCCTTTAACCAACCACAATCACCTTAAAATCGTTTTTAGCTCCATTTTTGAATTTTACTACATATATATTTTGTTGCTTCTGTCGTCACTAAAATTGTAAATATGTTCTTTTTTTACAGACGGAAACATACAACGTGTCTCAGGATAACAATGACACCCTGCAAATGGTCAGTATCATGGTGAAGACTAATCGTGCTGGTGTACCCGATTTTCACATACGCATTAATGCCTTGGAATTTCGGAATCTTGAAGAACGTATAACACGACCAATTCTTATACCATCCAATATACAATTTCATCGAAATGTGATCGATCGTTTCATTGATGTATTCAAGGAACAGGTTAGCCTTAATCCCATCTATAAAGCCGATCGTATAGCAGAGAAATGTTTTGCCTGCATGGTGGCTGAGCCTAATATAAAAATCCATAAACAATGTTTAGACGTTGATCGAAATGGTCAACCGTTAAGTGCAGATAATTGTTGTACAAATTGTTATTGTCGTCCAATGTGGTGTGTTGAGTGTTTGGCACGTTGGTTTGCTGCCCGACAAAATGATCATGAACGCGAAGTGTGGTTAGAACAGAAATGTACATGTCCTATGTGCAGGGCTAAGTTTTGTTTATTAGATGTAAGTTATATAGAGAAACCTGCTGTGACACCAACAACACTCAGTGATACAGACGCACCGGCCAGTGGCAATGATAATCAAACGTGATTATGTTTTAAATTATAGTTACGCATTTTCCAAAAAAAAAAAGAAAAAACGGCACGAAAAACTAGGAAAAAAGGAAGAACTGTGTTCAAAACATATACATCTTTTCGTAGTGAATATAAATATCCAGTTTTTACTTTTCAATTTTAAAAATTTATAAACTTCATTAAATGAAATACTCTTATTACTATAACTATGATATGGACTGAAGAGTTTCGGGGTTAATAATGGAAATCATTGCATTCAAATTTAAATTTAATGTAAGAATACGCTTTTGCAACATGTGGTGGCAAAAGTTACTACGCATAATCTATAAGATATAATTAGAAGTTTTTACGTCTACGGATTAAGTTCTTTATTCAATTGAATTTATCATATACCAATATGGTGCAATCGAAAGCCTGTAGATGGTGAATAATAAAAGATAACACTCCGCCATGGGGAACTTGGATAAGGACGGTCTTGTTTATTCATCCCATTCTTCGAACAGGGGTCAACTACATGCCGGGTATCGGATTGCATTCTTTTAACAGTTCTGCTGGAATCGAAGTGTGTTTCGTGTAGAAATAATTTTCGATTACAGCTTGACTGTCCTGGCCGGACAGTAAGGAAGCAGACTTTGTTAGGATAAAGGACGATCGGTTGCCTTAAGGTAGCCGCCCACTTGGAGATCTGCTGGTCCATTGAGTCATTTGAGATAAAAGAGAAAAACAAAAGAGATTGGAGAAAAAAGATAAAAAACAAAAGGCAATCAACGACTATTCATCTTTCGCCACTTATATCTTCTGGCTAGCTGCAGGCTCTGTTTCAGAAAATGAAGACAGATCATGTGTTATTTTCTCTCCCACAAACCTGTGTCCCTCATTGGTGAGATGGGACTGTGCAGAGCAAAGGTTAAAAAGACAAAGATTCAATAAATTTGAATTGTCTCTATTTCTTCCTCATCCTTGCGGAGCCTACGGTAAACAGTTTTCACGCTACATTTCGGCTTTCGAATCTCCCGTAGTAAAGATGTGGTAGGAGTCTTACCGAGTTCTCAACTTCAATGTCAGTTAATTCCCCTCGTCCTGCCTTCAGTGACACCTGACTATCGACGTATATGGTCACCGGTCCGTTAACTTCACTGTTCCTGTTTGTCAATAGATCTATAGTCGCCAATTTTTCTGCCTGGAATATTTGCTAATATTAAGGATATCACAGAAGACCCCCAGCACTCGTCCCACATTCCATCTTAGAACCGTCAGTATAGACAGCTATAAAGGTGGATTGTTACGATTCCAGATTTCGAAGTTCAACCGTGCTGATATGTAGTCACTAGTATTGACTGCTCCCCTTATACATCCCACACGACCTAAGATAGCAGAGCGTTCAAAGGAGTCATGGACACACCTGATTGCCTTTTCCTCTACGTGAGGACTTATGAGACTTAAGCACAGTAGGGTTCATAGTGCGACCTGAGGTGTGCTCCCGAATGCACCAGTAATCAGAAGCGATGGGTCTTACCTAAAGATAAGGGAATATATATATTACGTTTTAATAAAAAATGAAGCTTAAGGGCAAGTCCTCGAAATAACCATCTAAGATCTTACAAAGTATATATATTCTCTATCGAATTCTGTAGATTTAGTCATGTCCACCTGAGGAAATTACTCAAACTTCCAAACTGAATAAAGTATTTGGATTAAATTTTACTCAGATATTCGATATTTTGATAATTTTAACTAGCTTTTTCTACAGAATTATCTGGAATGTAATATACATATATGTAGGACCTTTTAGTATATTTCTCAGATCTTCAATGGAAATTTGTTATTTGAAGTTTGTAATTGGAGCCAATTGCTCTGGCAGACAATACAGGATGAGATAAAACAAACTGTAACAAAGTCAAACGCCATAATTTTTGCATTTTTTTAATTTAATTGATTGAAATCAAAAAATGTCGGAAATAGCATCAAATTTTAGAATAAGTTTTGTTCGAATTGGTTACCTTTGGCACGAATTATGACCTTCAAACGGCCAATGAAACCGTCACACGCTGCCCGAATGTTGCTTGCTTGAGGTGATCGACACTTTGGTATTTTTTAGTGCCAACCTTGCTTTCCAAAATACTCCAGACACAATAGTCCAATGAATTGGTATCCAGAGATTTTGGTGGCCATTGTGCGCTGGAAATGAAGCGAGCAACCTCATTTTGCAACCATTCTTGTGTGGCGTGTGCTGATTGCGATGGTTCTGAGTCCTGTTAGAATGTCCAAAGTCTGCGGACAAAATGTTTGCGTGCCCAAGGCTTTAATACACGCTTCAGAATATTTTCGCGATATTTCCGCGATATTTATTTTGATGCCACGGTCAATTAATACGAGCGATATTTTGAAAATTTTTTGTATATAATATACATATATGTAGGATCTCTTAGTATATTTGCCAGATCCTCAATGGAAATTTGACATTTGAAATTTGTAATTGGAGCCAATTGCTCTGGCAGGCAATTGTATATGTAGATCCTCTATTAAGTATAACCCGGATATATCTGAACCCCCAATATTAGCTATTTGGATGATTTTTGTCACATTTTCCGAATGAAATTGACGTTACGAATTTCAAGTAACGTCAGAAATCAATTATATATGTCAATGTTTCCCCATAAAATTGTATTCCACAATATTCGGTATTTTCATTGTCATTTTTTTTTGTTTTATGATTATCAAGTTTTGTATTTTCATAGACTCCACCGGTAAGGGTACCAACATCGTATAATATTTTGAAAGATTTAAACAAACTTTAAAAGGGTATTGGAACTGCCTTGTAAAAATAATTCGAAACGAGCGCATTCCATAATTTTTTTCAACTATTTTCATTCTCCATGGAGAAGGTTATCAAAAGTTCGAAGTTAATACCTCCTTAAATTAACACCGAATCTTTTCAATCCATATATATTGAAACTGCTACTGCAACAACTGTTCTATGGACTTTTCATTGTTATAAATAACTGTTTATAAATATTTTCTATTTTTACTTTTCCTTTGAGATTATTCTATCCTATAGCACTTCACACGACAAGTTACTATATACATGCGTTTAAATTTTCTGAATAGGCTGAGTGGCGCCCAACTGTAGGCATTTATCTTAAATGGCATAATAAAATAAAGGAAAACAACAATCAAATCTGTGTTTGTGTGTAGTTTATTTATTTAAAAAAAAAATGTATGTATGTATCTCTATAATATAAGAATGATTATTTTTTTACTAAAAACATATGTATAATACAATTTCAAAAGAAAAAAAATATATATACTTTTTACTATACTAATTGGAAGTCTTAAAACATAATATGGGATTGCTTTTTGATTTATTTATTTATTCTTTTTATTGTTATATTAACTATCAAGGGGTTATTATCACGTTTATTTTCAAACAAAATACTTATCAAATTCTTAAACGTCTTAAATCAATATATTTCAATATTTTGAAAAGAAATATTCCAAGTTATAGCAATTAAGTACACTTATATTTTAGTTGATATTTATTTCTTAGTTTTTCTTTTGGCAATTCTAATAGGCCGCACAGTTGTTCAGGCAGCACATGTTTCAGCAGTGATAGACATTGCTTGTTGGACAATTCTAAAATGTTATTTATTCACATACTTTGCTTAAGTACTAAATATTTTTTTTTTTTTAAATAATATGTATTTTGAAAAGTATTTCAAGTTAAATATGTACGTTCTCTAAAACGTATATTTATATCGATCGATTGTTTTTCATAAGAAATAAGAATCTCGATAAAAAAGAAAGAAGGATTTTAAATTCTGAGCTTATTCCAAGGAGACTATACCAGCTGGATGTAAAGCAAACCTTACCCTTTCTTACCGACAAAATCCATTCCATGCGCCGTGGAATCAAAGAGGTCAGTTATGTGTTTCTAGTATTAAAAACAAAAGTCTAGCATTACAATCCTTAAGGTGGGAATACATAAAGGGCTTATCTGGCTGGCTTAAGTCATCGGCTGGCTTCTTCGGAAATGAACAAAGGAGCCTAGGGCCAAAATCGAACTAAGTCAACCTAAAACTCCTTTCTTCATCTACGAAGAAACCAGCCGATGACTTAAGCCAACCAAATATGCTCTTTATGTATTTCCAGCCTTAAGCTGCAAGTACATAAGAAGCTTGAAGTCATGGCTAGGCATATTTTGTAACATTTCATAATTTGACATTAATATGCCTAGATGAAAAACCCGCAAGCAGACTGCTGTCATTTTTATACCACTCGTCCGACAGCTGTTAAAATTATTCCAGTGACAAATCATTATATTGTTTACAAGCATACAAAAGCCATTTGTTGAGAATTTTCCAGAAAAAAAGTTATTCACGATGGAATTCAAGCGTGATAGTGTGATTTCTTCATATTTGGCTGGAAAACCACAAGTGGCTATCGTTAGAGCACTCCACATTTAAATGTCAATAAATATTTTGTGTCTCATACCATCGCTCGTCAGCAGTAGCAAGTAAAGAAGCGACTTGATCGAAACCCGCGTTGCATTGGCCGAAAAATGGCTCGTAAACTGAAAATATAGCAATATTCTATTCGGCGAATATTGAAAAATGAGCTCGGGATAAAGCTATTGAAATTCCAAAAAGTGCAAAAACTTACACCACAACGGAAAGAAAATAGACACCAAAGAGCTAAAGAGTTGCTTCGCTTGGTCGAAAGTGGTGAACTGCCGAATTTGGTTTTCTGCGATGAGAAAATATTCGTTGTCCTGCAGTTTGTAAACAAACATAATGATCGTGTTTACTTGCCAAAGAGGTTAGCCGAAATGTGCAGCTTCGGTTGGCCACCATGGCGATGGTGTGGGCCGCCATTACAGCCGATGGTCGCTCTCCGCTCGTATTAATCGACCGTGGCATCAGATAAAATGCCGATTATTATCGCGAAAATATTCTGGAGGGTGTATTAAAGCCTTGGGCATGCAAACATGGCCGCAGACCTTGGACATTCCAACAGGGCTCAGTACCATCGCACTCAGCACGCGCCACCCAAGAATGGTTACTAAATGAGGTTCCTCGCTTCATTTCCAGCGCACAATAGCCACCAAAAACTCCGGATAGCAATCCGTTGGACGATTGTGTCTGGAGTATTTTGGAAAGCAAGGTAGGCACAAAAAATTACCAAAGTGTCGATCACCTCAAGCAAGCGCTTCACAGGGAATGGGCGCAGAGCAACATTCGGGCAGGGTGTGACGGTTTCATTGACCGTGAAAAGGCCATAATTCGTGGCGTTTGATTTTGTTGCAGTTATTTATCTCACCCTGTAGATAGGAAGTTAATGGAAGCCTTTTGTTGGGATTAAGAGTAAAAAACATGTACATAAATTGGAAAAATGTAATGACGCCCTTGTTGGTTAGCACGCTCTTGTATGTCGTTGAGCCTGAAGTTTACAGATTTTAACGAGACTGAGATATTCCAAGATCGTCAGAAATTATTTATAAAAAATGAAATGAAAAGATGTAAGATAAATCCTTTATCGACGGAATCTACCAGGGCATGTTCTTTTATGTTACAAATTCTGAACATTTTCTTAAACAAAAGCTTAGTAACTGATATACTTTCTTAGATAGTTTTTGCCGCAAAGAATCCCACCACGTGCAAGTACTGAACATTTCTAAACTCTACTCTCGCGAACTTCTTTCCATTGACCGCTTCGTTTATATCTTTCGCATTTTCACAATATTGAATCGCTTTTTTTTAACTAATTCTTATTTTCTATAGAAAAAATATAATTAGAACAAATCGTGGAAAAAAATCATAATATTTTTTTTCAATACAATTAACGGAAATAAAAAATAAGTCATCGTTGTTTGTTTTTCTCTTATTCTGGAATTTGGCTTTAACAATAAATTAAAAAATATATAAAGTATTAGTTATAATGTGGCTGCCAACTATGGACATTGCTTCGTGCTATGGTTGGAATCTATAAATTCGTTTCGTAGTAACTTTTGTAAGAATCCACTTTGTCACGTTGCCGGTTATTAGACGTCGAAGAGGTAAACGACGATGATGATGATGATGAGATCGCCTTAGCTGGTGTTTGTGTTTGATAGGATTTCATAGAGGCTGATGAACCGTAATGTGATGAGATCTGGAAAAAAGTAGAAAAAAGAAAATAATAATAATTAAATTAAAAATTATGTTGCAAAAACTAAGCGCTAAAGCCGGTAATTCTGAGGAATGTCTTTGACAACTACTCAGCATTGAATTTTCAACTATAACAGATTATAGATATTTAGTTTTGAAAGAAACTATTGCAAAAATACTATTTAATAAAATAAATGGGTTCATGGGGTACATTCATATAGGGTAGAAGAATAGTGAATTCCCCAAACAGAAAAAAAATCTGTTGTAATTACGATAGAGTCAAAACGAATTAAGATAGCAAGCTAACATTTTGCACAGATCAGTCTTTTGTATCAAGCCAAGATGGGCTATATTGTAGCCAAGGAATTATTTCTGAGTACTTTACCCCCTAGTAGAGAATTGTCTATATAGGTCCACAATATCGTATAGCCCTCATATAACGGTACCCCCGATATTCGGTATTTTGATGATTTTAGCGACATTTTGGCCGCAATTGTTTCGTATTTAAAGTTTGAAGCTCGTAATGAGTACTACAACCTATGCAGGTCCACGTCTTCGTATAGCCCACATATATCGGTACCTCCCTGTATCCGGTATTTTTATGATATTAGCAATATTATTCACCGGAATTGTTTCAAAATTGATTATATTAGCGACATTATTTAAGGGAATTGTTTCAAATTTCGTATTTGACAAAAAAATTACTTTTTGTTGTTGCAAAATGGTCAGGCTTATCCCTTTATTGTTGTTTTTATAAAAACAACGTTTGTTTATTAGTGGAGAACGATGGTAATGTTTACCAGGGGGTAAGGCAGGGAATACCTAGGTTTCGGAAAGAGCCACCAATCCTCATCAGTTCCCTTGTTTTTGTCTGGGATATTCTCCCCAGAAGTTATTTTAAAAATAACTTCTATGACAAAACAAGGTATTTTTTAATGCCAACCTTGCTTTCCAAAATACTTCAGACACAATAGTCCAACGGATTGGCATCCAGAGATTTTGGTGGCCATTGTGCGCTGGAAATGAAGCGAGGAACCCCATTTTGTAGCCATTCTTGGGTGGCGCGTACTGATTGCGATGGTACTGAGTCCTGTTGGAATGTCCAAGGTCTGCGGAAAAATGTTTGCATGCCCAAGGTTTTAATACACGCTCCAGAATATTTTCGCGATAATATTTCCGCGATATTTATTTTGATGCCACGGTCGATTAATACGAGCGGAGAGCGACCATCGGCTGTTATGGCGGTCCACACCATCACCATGGCCGGCGCTTGAGTTCTGGTGGCCAACCGAAGGTGCACATTTTCAGCTGACCTCTTTGGCAAGTAAACACGATCATTTTGTTTGTTTACAAACTGCTGGACAACGAATGTTTTCCCATGGGAGAAAACCAAATTCGGCAGTTTACCACTTTCGGCCGAACGAAGCAACTCTTTAGCTCTTTTGAGTCTATTTTCTTTCTGTTGTGGTGTAAGTTCTTGCACTTTTTGTAATTTCAATTGCCTTAACCCGAGCTCATTTTTCAATATTTACCGAATGAAATATGTATGCGATATGTTCAGCTCACTAGCCATTTTTCGGCCACTGCGAAGCGGGTTTCGATCAAGTCGCTTCTTTACTTACTACTGCTGATGTTGCTGTTTTCTTCCGTCCACATCCTTGACGTCGGGCTACGCTACCGGTATCACGGTAACGAGCGATGGTACGAGACACAAAAGATTTATTCACATTTAAATGCTGAAGTGCTGGATTTCCAGCCAAATATAAAGAAATCACCCCTTCATGCTTGAATTCCATCACGAATAACTTTTTTCTGGAAAATTCTCACCAAAATGCTATTGTACGCTTGTAAACAATATATTGAGGTGTCACTGAATTAATTTTAACAGCTGTCGGACGAGTGGCTTAGAAATGACAGCAGTCTGAAGTTGGTTGCACTATTTTTATCTCACCCTGTATATCTAGGTGTAATACTTTTTCAGAAGATGGCATTGGAAATTTCTGTATTTTGTGTATAATTTAATGCACTAAAATAAATTATAAATTAAATTTTGACCGTAAGCAACTATTGAACAGAAGTTGATGGTGATTAATTGGAAAGAAAGCCTAATAGTTTACCAAAAAGACTTTTTGAAACGTTTGAAGTTTAAAAGCAATTACTTATGGCTTAATCAACTGGACTTACGATCTCCTTAAATGGTTTTACATCATTTTTAACATTTTACCAATATTATACTGATTTTTATACTCGCCACCTTGGAAAAGAGGGTATACTAAATTTGTCATTCCGTTTGTATCGCCGTTTGTAAATTTGTCATTTGTATCGCCGTTTGTAAATTTGTCATTCCGTTTGTATCGCCTCAAAATATTCGTCAGGGACCCCATAACGTATATATATTCACGATCAACATAACGATGTCCATCTGTTTGTCTGTTAAATTGTCGATAAAGCTGCAAAATTTGGCACAGTAGTTTGTATTGTGTCTAGGATTGTTGGTATTGAAAATGAAATATATCGGTCCACCTTCTGCTACAACCTCCATATAACGATACCTTCCGATATTCAGTATTTTGATGATTTTTGGTTTTGTTTAAAAATTGGTATTTGTAGTTCGTAATTGGTTCTAGCTACGGTGACAGAACATTACATATGTAAATCTACGTTTTCGTATAGTCTCTATATAACAGTACCTCCCGATACATGGCATTTTGATGGTTTTAGGCACATTTTCCCACGGATTTTTGTTTTTAAGTGGTATTTGTTTTTCGCAATGGATCCAGATACTTTTTTATTAACAGTAAGGAAAGTTCCAAAGTCGGAAGGAGCTGACTATATGATACTCTATACCATGATGCGTATTTAGTAGAGCTCCCGTAACAAAAGAAGTTTATATTGGGAATTTATGTGAAGTAGATCATATCAACTATGAACCCTATTGGAATGTGTATCATGGCTTTAGAGTAGTCACAATAATCCAACTCTGAATCGATTTTCAACAAATTTGCAGCAGGGTTTTGTTCCTCTAGTACCAACTAACATTGCTGTTTTGTGCATGATATGACTTCGATAAGCATTATATTAAAAAAGAGGTATTTTCGAGCTCTATTTGAAGTCTGGTATCTAATATCCTTGTTATGTAAGACACCAAATGTGATGAAACATATATATGGGGCCTGTAGCTATATCTGAACTGATGTACTTGCTTCTAGACTGAATTCCGTTGCAAGTGCCAAAATTCAGCCCATTTAGGCTGATATTAGCCATTTTGTGCACAATAAAACTGATACCGGAAAAAGATATATATGAGAGAAATTATCCACAGATATTTCTGGGCTGTATCTAATATCTGGTATCAAATATTAATTCTGTGGAGTGCATATTACGAATTTAAGGAACTTTAACACCAAATCGGATGAAACAAATAATGGAAGCTATAGCTATATCTGAATGGATTTTGACCAAATTTGATGTACTTGCTTCTAGAATGAATTCAGTCGGGTGTGCCAAAATTCAGGTCATATGGACGGATATTGGTCATTTGTTGCACAATTAACCCGAAATCGTGAGCTATAGCTACATTTAAACCGATTCTTACCAATTTCAACAGAGCTCGTCCTTGGGCCAAAGAAATATAGTTTGCAAAATTTTATCTCAACCAGTTAATAAATGCGATCTACACTTTGTTCACAAAAATACGTGGACAGACGGACTGAAAAGCATAAATCGACTCGGAAAGAGATTTTATAAAGATCCTCAAAAGTAATTATGGGCCTATCTCGCATCCTTCTCTATGTTACACACAAAGACATAATACCCTTACCACTATGTGGTGTATGGTATAAAAATGTTTTCTTTACCTAATGGTGGAGGATATTAAAAGTTCGACCCGACCGAACTTAATGTCTTGTTACTTATTCTCAATTACATCATCTTTGATTATGTGAAGAACCACATGAAATTTCAAAAGTAAACACAACGTGACTCCATTACTTTTTATTTGTACTGCACAATTTGAAATAAAATCCCCCAAACAAATGGGGTAGGGTACATGACAGCAGAATAATTATTACGAACATATGTACTTCAAATGAACTCGTTATAATATCGCACTCCGCAAAAGAATAAGTGTCTAAACAAAACACAACCACCAACAACAATAAAGTCTTCAGGTTCTGAAGAAAGTTTACTGATATCAATATCGATACCTGGAATTTTGCGCTTATTTCGCGAAAAAAAAACATTATTGTCTTGTATATTTTTTTCTATTATCAGCAAATGTACAACAAATTCAATATCGCAGCTGCAATCAAAAAGAGAACACAAAAAAAAAAAGAAAAGGTAAAAAGCACTATGGAAATTTATAGAAAAAGAAAAACAATAAATTGACATTATTGACATAAAATAATGCAAACCTTTCCAAAAAAAGTCTGTTTCTACAAAAAATTAAAAATAATTGAACAATAAATTTTTATTTAAAAATGACAACTAAACAAACAAATTTAACATAGCAAAAATATAGCCATTTTATTACTTGTTAAGATAAGGGATTTTTTTTCGTGAAATTTGATTATTTTGATGGAATAAAATAGACGTATTCTTTTTTTTTTACCAATAACTATTTTATATGTAGTACAACTAATTTTAAAAATTGATCCTGACCAAATAAAAGTTGCAGGAATGTATGGAAGACACATGAAACAGTAGTTAAGTTTGACCGAAGTCTAGAGTTTTAGCGTTACATATTAATTCTGTAGTAAGGTCGTCTGTTAAAACAAAAGTTCTGCAAAAGAAGGCGACTCGAGATAGATTTTTTTGTTCTTGGAATGAAAGAAGGCAAATTTTTGCTGGACAAATTTCTTTTTATACCCTCCACCATACATAGTATGGAGGGTATATTAAGTTCGTCATTCCGTTTGTAACTCATCGAAATAATCATTTTAGACCCAACAAAGTACACATATTCTTGATCACCGTAAAATTCTAAGACGATTTATCCCTGTCCGC